TCACTGGCAGAGGCACCGTGGGGCGGTCCTTTGCTGTTTCCAGGGCGGCCCCACAGGCCAGATCTGGGCCCCGGGCCTTGAGTTTGACACCCCTGATCTAGAAGCTTTGGACTGCACTGAAAACTAACTGTTTTTACCTCCCATTGTTCCCCCAAGGCCTGGTGCTTTTAGCCCAAGCAAGGACAGTTTCCATAACCACCAGAAAATTTCACACACACGCACACACACCACCCACTTTGAGCACCACAACACAAAGCTCTTCTCCCAGACACCAGGTAGAACTCACAGCAGCGGCTTTCAACATCACTGTCCGTCCAGGTGCCATTAGGGAGGCATTTTCGTACTTTGGGCCCCACAATTTCCCTCTCTGGACGGCAGACGTATTCAATCTCATAGTCGAAAGGAAGGAAGTGGGCCGTCTTCACCTGTTCACGGGTCAGGCCTCTGTAGCGGATCCCACCGTCCCAAGGAGGGAAGATGAGCTTGCAACCTGGATGAGAAGATAAAGCAAAAGATCCTTTCAAAGAAAAGAAGTGATCTCGCACACCTGAAAAACATTGTTTTGACCTGAGCACCAGAGCTGTGTAGGAATTTGGATCTGGGACATCAACTGAGAGATCTCGATCAGCTACAAAGCTTATGACTGGGAGACCTGGAGCTGATTACTGTGCTGGCTTTCGCTTTCAACCTACACTTTACAAGAGAGCTACGATGCTAAAAAGGTGTGCCTGTTTACACCTGTGTATTATTTCCTGAGCTTTTTGGAGGAAGGCCAAGAAATGAGTTCATCCTTGAATATTAATCTAAGAAGTCACTGAGGCACTTCAGATCGACTAATCCTCCCTTGGCTCCACACAGCCATCTTAAAAGCTGGATTTTGTCTTTCTTTATACCAACTATCACAGAGGTTTTCCTAGGTGCAATAGTAACAATAAAAGAAGAAGAAAAAGATTCTTCTGAGTCAAATTCAACTTTAGGTGACTACAGGAAAACACATCAGTGTAGTCTTCTAGATAGCATACAGAAACAATACGCCATTGTTTTGTTCAACTTGACAATCTAGGGGGATTCCTGACAGTCTTCCATTCAAATCCTAACCATGTTGTCCAAGGAGAATTATGTGCCGCAGTCTGCCATACACACATAAGAGCACCGTGGTTAGAATGCAGTATTGCAGGCTAATTCTGCCGACTGCCAGCAGTTCAATCCTGACCGGCTCAAGGTTGACTCAGCCTTCCATCCATCCAAGGTGGGTAAAATGAGGACCCAGATTGTTGGGGGCAATAGGCTGACTCTGTAAACTGCTTAGAGAGGGCTATAAAGAACTGTGAAGCAGTATATAAGTCTAAGTGCTATTGCTATTTATTTATTTATTCACTTGCTTATTAATCTTAATTTTCATGCAGGAGCTCAACATATAATGCACTCTCCTTCCTCCATAACCACCCAGTGAAGCAGATGGGACCAAGCAAGCATGATTGGACCAGTGAGCATCTATGCCAACCAGTCCACCACCTTATCAATGCACCACAACCCCCTTACAGAGTCCAATTTAACTGCAGTCTATAGAGACAATGTAGTTTTATGCTATATTTTTCATGTGTTTCCTGCTTTAGAATGGAGGGAAACTGAAATTTTCCGTGTCATTGAAAAAGACTGTCGGATCTTTGAAAAGGGATTTGGGAGGTACTGTCGCCAAATGATGCATGACGAGATATGCTGAATCATATAGTTGGAAAAAGCAACGCAGATCAAACAAGAATGAAAGTGCAGCGGTGATAACTATCTTATTAACCAGTGGCAGTTCTGCCATAAAACACCTGCTGCCTGATAATAACTGTTATCAGGTATTTCCTTCTTAATTCACTGTTTACAATTCTTTCTCCATTCCCCCCCCCCCTCCCTTCAGTAATCTGTGACTCAAGATAAATCTTCAGGCATAAAACCCATGATGTTTACCTTGTAATATATGTGTTTGTTTGAAAATGCCACAAAGTATGCCACAAGTATCTCTCCTTCCTTAATCCCATCTAAATGCAGGCTCGGTGAGTTCATGACAGCTTCCACTCAGCCCTGTCACCTTTTACAGTTAACATACAGCCCCACACACTTTCTCAAACTTTGGGGTATTGTGACCCCCAAAAATAATTCATGAATTTGTGTGAAACCTTCCCCCCCCAAATTAACTATTTCATTGGCATTAGGGTTAAACAAAAAAAATACAACTGCACTCATCTTAAGAATTAAAGATTTATTTATTTATTTATTTATTTAATTTACATAGCTGCGTATCTCACATACATGACTGGGGGGCACAGAATCAAAATAACAACCCCCCCAATAAACAAATACAAATAAACATCCAAAACAAAATATAAAACCATTAAAAACAATGAAACTGATCTGCAAGAATGTACAATCCACACATTGGAAACAGTGCAACCATCTTGCGGGCTTCCTACCTCTGCTGGATCTCCAGGGCTAATTTAAACCCGGGAGGAATGATGTTCCAAAGACAGATCCGATGCCATTGTGGGCTGAATTGAATCCGGAAGCAAACTGACAACCAATGCAGCTCATGGTTGTCAGTTGCAGAGGCAGTGGTGGGATTCAGCCAGTTCGCACCACTTCGGGAGAACTGGTTGTTAACTTTCTGAGCAGTTTGATGAACTGGTTGTTGGAAGAAATCATTAGGGCAGAGAACCGGTTGTTAAATTATTTGAATCCCACCACTGGGCAGAGGTATCACCTAGGAGCGCACATCAAGCCAAAAATGCAGCGGCCTGCGGTTTTGTGCAGACCTCGGTGTGCGCATGTGTCACCTCTCCTGTGGGAGCTGCATTGATTGCCAATTTGCTTCCACGTGCAAGTCAAGGTGCTAGCTGTCACTTTTAAAGCTCTTCATGGTTTGGCGCCAGGTTATCTGAGGGACTGTCTTTTGCCAGTCACTTTCACCTGATCCACTAGAGGGGAGGCAAGGAATGCTGCAGGTCCCATCCTCTTAAGTAGGTACCACTGGCAGCAGTGGTGAAATTCAAATTTTTTTACTACTGGTTCTGTGGGCGTGGCTTGGTAGGCGTGGCTTGGTGCGTGTGGCAGGGGAAGGATACTGCAAAATCACCATTCCCTCCCCATTCCTGGGGGAAGGATATTGCAAAATCTCCATTCCCACCCCACTCTGGGGCCAGCCAGAGGTGGACTAGAAGATCTCCAAACTCCTTTCCAATTCTGTTGTTCTGTAAAGTGACTCCAAGAATGGGACTTCTCACTCCTCATCTTGCTATATATGAAGAGATTCTCAAACTTTGCTCTACTGGAACTGCCCCTGAGGCAAGAGACCCATCCCTCAGCAAACTTTGTCAAGGTTCCCGCTCTACCATTGTAAGATTGATCAGATATTTTTTTAAAAAAACAAAAAACATGATGTAAGTCACCCAGGATCTATAGGGAAATCCTGACTCACAGTGTGAGAGCCCTTGATAAAGCCTAAAAATATTTTTGTTGGTCTTGAAGACAGCATTAGTAAAGTCTCCTTTGACTTCAGCTGAATTCCTGCTGACTTCACAGATGCATCCTCATACTTTTCTTGGCAACTATGTGAATGTTATTTGCTATTGCCTTTTTTCAGGGTTTTAAAAAAAAATTTCCCTGAGACTTTGAAATCCCCAGAAAAAGATGGGCTCCCACCCAATTATTAACCAAGCCCAACCCTGCTTAACCTCTAAGCCATGGGTGTCAAACCCGCGGCACCATGTTGATGTCACGTGACGTATCGCGACGTTTTCCCTTTGCGGACCTGGGGTGGGCGTGGCCTGCACGTGACGCATCCGGCCCATGGGCCACCAGTTTGACATCCCTGGTGCTTAATCATTTGCTGAAGCCTAAAGATGCCACACATGTAGCAGATGATTGTCAAGAATGAAACATAAAAGCATGACTTCTTTTTCCATTGTTTGGAAAACAAGCCACAATTGGCTGGACTTTGCATGAGGTGAGAGACTGTGGGGAGGCTGGGAAGGTACCAGGAGAAATGCTGAACAGCGAATAGACTGCAGTTTGTTAGCAGCTTATCTCATAAATGGGAATTCAATCGGCTGCAGAAAGACTGAGAGGAGAAGATTCATAGTCTTCGAAGAAATTCCATCAAACAAATTCAATAATATATAAGGGGTGGAAATTTTTCTACTGCAATTCCACATTTCTCTACACTGCACCTAATCCTTGCATCAAAGCCCCTTACTGAAGTCTGTGAAGCTCTTGCTTGCAGATTATACACAGCGCACTTTGCCCTAGGAATCAGGGGGCCTGAGTTCAAATCATCTGCTAAGACCAACTGAGACTACATTAAGGCTTAGTACAATGTGCAAAACTCATGGCTGACTAGAAATCTCTCATTGCAACCCAGGACTAATGTCACAACACAGCACTGTCTCACAAAATTCTTGGCAAATGTAGGTTCTAAAGATTGGTTGGATGAAGGGGCTTCTGCAAAGAACATCCATATCTGAGAATTTATTTCCAAAGTCAATGAACGTCTTAGAAAGAGGACTGGTTTTGTTGAGAAACTTAAGACTGCAACTGAAAAGAAATAGATAAATTTGGAGATAGTGGGAAGCTGTCTGGCTCAACCCTCATTGTAAGCATCTGGTACAAGCCAGGATGATGCCTCATGTGCCATGATGTCATCGTACAAATGGCACATGAGACATACTGTACTGTACTGTAATTGCAGAATTCCCATCATTCCTATGATGATGTCATGATGCCTCCTTACCCTTGGCAGATACCCATGACCTTTAATTTGATGCAGCTAACCCAGAATTAAGAGATAGCGGCCAAGCCTGATTCAAGAGGCATGGACCCACTAGCAAAAATCCAAGTTAACTTGTACAAAAACATTTGCATATACTGCAAGAGCATTTTGGATCCTGACTTAAAGATTACTTCAACCATTTTATGCAATGGCATTCTAAGTTATCCCTTAAATGTCATTCATGCAGGTTTCAGAGGGACATTTCCAAGGCAGTCACAGGAGGTGCTGCTCAGAGCTTGCGGTGGAGCCACTGGCTGAAGAGGAAGGGGCTCAGCTAAGAGGTGTACAAAGACATCCCAGCTTAAAGTCCATTCTGAGGAGGAAATGTCTGAGATCAAACTCTTAGGCTTTCCCCAGGGCAGGCAGAAAGACTGTCAAAATTCTTGTAATATAGGTAATCAGCAATAAAGTATCTGTTTCGGCCTACCCATGAGTAATTCTGGTTACTTGCATCTGATAAGCGTGGGAGAAAATTTGATTGCAGCTTCACCTTTTCAATCAATCAATTAAACAGCAAGGAACAGGATTCGCTCACCCCAGGAATGGAGATATCAGATGGATGGTAACCTCCTGACCAGTATGTCTGCAAGGATAAATAGCCACCTGCAATCTGCCCACCCACCCACCCACACCCCAAGGTTTTTTATATTTTAGGCAAACACAAAAGGAGACAAAGGAATGGAATCCAATGGAAATTGATAACAGATTAACAGAAGGACCTTGTAAATCATCTAACTCAACCCCCACCCCAAGCAGGAGACCCTGCCTACACCATTTCTGACACATAAGATAAAGAACACATGGGGGAGGAGGAGGAGGAGGAGGAGGAGGAAGGACAGAATACTAGATCAAGTGTAATCTGAACCAGGATCAGGGGTGAAATCCAGCAGGTTCTGACAGGTTCTGGAGAACCAATAGTGGAAATTTTGAGTAGTTCGGAGAACCAGCAAGTACCACCTCTGGCTTGCCCCAGAGTGGGGTGGGAATGGAGATTTTGCAATATCCTTCCTCCAGGAATGGGGAGGGAATGGGGATTTTGCAGTATCCTTCCCCTGCCATGCCCACCAAGCCACGCCCACCAAGCCACACCCACAGAACTGGTAGTAAACAAATTTGGATTTCACCACTGACCAGGATTATACTGTAATCTGATCCAAATTGAACCAAACCCTGTTAGGCCAGTCACTCAGCCTCATGTAGCAATTTATGGGTTATAGCATAGCGGAGGTTGTAATGTCAGATGATGTCGTTCCAGGAAATATGAGATTACCTGGAAGTCTTCCTCTGAGTCCTCTAGGGGCCATCTCCAAGTGGAGTGACTTTATCTGATTGTGCTTGAGTCACAGACATCTGCCCTTCCCAGAAGGTAGTTCTCTGCTTGCAGGAATCCAATGTTCTGGGCGTCAAGCCTGATCCAAACTTGTACAAACACCTGATTTGCTTTTTAAAATTTTATTGATTTGTAAACCGATAACTTAGTTCATGCAGTAAGCCATAAACCATAATTATACCATGTGTTGTTAACCCATCTCTCAAGAAACCACGTATTGGCTTAGTGTACTCTATGAACCAAGTCACTGAATGAAACAGCAGTCCTGCTGCGTTACCTCAAAGGGATCCCATTTCCCACCATATCTAGCCAGGGGACTCTGGGAAGCCCATGAGCTGAGCAACATTCCTGCCCTGATATTGCAATGCAACACACTGATGCTCGGTGGCTCAAGATGGAAGCTTCCCTCTCCCCCGCTCTCTTGGGGGCAGGCACAAAAAGAGTGGGTGCCTGAAGGCAGTGAAATCACGTGGGGGATGCGAGGCAGACTGAGGATTTCCAGTTCAGCCTTCAGCTCCCTCGCTCTTGCTCCCTAAAGAGAGGAGAAGACGTGGGATGTCTGCATATTAAAAGTATTTTTCAGGTGCAGGAGGGAATGGCGTGTTTAATTTTTATACAGGAAAAAAGGGGGAAAATATAACCAGCACTTGGCTGCACCTAGAGCAGTGGTGGTCCGTGGACCACTCGTGGTCCACGAGAAAATTTTGGTGGTCCACAGAAAAATTATTTGCATTTTTTTTATACCACTAAATACTATTTATCTTTTTAAAAAATTCATACTAGTGGTCCACGGGATTTAAAATTATGAATTTAGTGGTCCCTGAGATCCGAAAGGTTGGTGATTCCTGACCTAGAGGAACCTGGTTAGCCTCAAATAGGATCAGAATCACTTAACGACAGAATGGGAGACAGCCCTAAAATCCTAGGGGAGTCAAAAAAAAAAATAATGTACCGATATATCAAGCTTGATTTAAAAGGGAAAGGTTTACTATAATGAGCCAGACCATTGGTGAAATCCAATTTTTTTTACTACCGGTTCTGTGGGCATGGCTTCGTGGGCGTGGTATGACTTAGTGGACATGGCTTGGTGGGCATGGCAGGGGAAAGATACTGCAAAGTCTCCATTCCCTCCCCACTCCTGGGGGAAGGATATTGCAAAATCTCCATTTCCACCCCACTCCAGGCGAAGGATACTGCAAAATCCCCATTCCCTCCCTACCCTGGGGCCAGCCAGAGGTAATATTTGCCGGTTCTCTGAACTGCTCAAAATTTCCGCTACCGGTTCTCCAGAATCTGTCAGAACCTGCTGGATTTCATCCCTGAGCCAAACCCTTATATATTTACTGTCTGATTTGCATATTGCATGAAACTATGGTTTATTTAGCCATCTTTCATTGAATAAACTACAACTGGCAGCTTTACATCATACACTAAGCAACAAATCGTCATTTATACATCCTAAGAGTTGCATTTAGGCACCATGCCCAGCCAAACCAAACAAACCATGTTATCGCTTAGCATCATATGTGAACCCAGACAGTGTTGCAATGAGGATAGTAAACGAGGAGAGCCTTCTATAGCTGCCTTACATTTCTCAAGGCTGTGAAGACCTTGGATAGTTTGTCTGTCCAGAAGCAATTTTTCTTTACTCTCTCTGGTTCCAGGGATGGGCAACATTGCAAGAATGAGAAGTTACCGAGGGCTTGCAATGAATAGCACAGGTGGGTAGGGAGGAGCAAAGGACTTGGATGGCACACAAAAGGTTGCGTCAAAGAAGTAGGCATTATCATCAGGAGGCAGGAGAAAAGCAGAACTATAATTAAACACTGGACAACAGTCCTACTGCTAATCTAATAAAGCTAATTTGTTCAAGAAAGGGAAAGCTAATTTAAGATAGCAGAAGCCCATTATTGAGATACTTTTCTGCAAGGTGCTAGACTTCAGCTCTCATTATCCCTGGCCAGCATGATTTGGGATTATGTCTGAAGAGTACCAGAGCGGCAGAAGGGGTGTAATCTCTGTTGTGATTTCTTCCCTGGTCAGGGAAGACAATTCCTGCAGATCAGAATGGATTCTCCCAGCCGTAAAATATGCTATGAATAGCAAATTCTACTCATGCCTTTTTTTCATTACTTCCTAGAGCTGTTTCCCACTCTTCTCTGAAGCAACCAACCAACCAATCACATTTAGAAAGAAGATTTTATAACGCTGCTCCAACAAGCGTAGGGTTGGAAGTAGGAAGGGATGAGAATGCAGCAGATGGGGGGTGGGGTGGGGAGCGAGGCCTTCCCATCATGGGGATCTTATTTTGGTTGCCAAAGGATTATTAGACCTAAAAGCGAAAAACAATCAAGGGTCTTCTAGCAACTTAAAGTCTAGCACATTTATTATTGAATCTACTTTCATAGTTCGCTTCATCAGATCTACACAATATGGGTTGCTGAGAAAGTGTGCACACCCGCACCCACAGAGAGAGAGGAGAGAGAGGGAGAGAGGAGAGAGAGAGAGAAGAGAGAGAGAGAGAAAGGAGAGAGAGAGAAGAGAGAGAAAGGAGAGAGAAAGGAGAGAGAGAAGAGAGAGAGAGAAGAGAGAGAGAGAAAGGAGAGAGAGAGAAGAGAAAGAAAGAGAGAAGAGAGAGAGAGAAGAGAGGGAGCAGAGAGAGAAGAGGGAGAGGGGGAGAGAGGAGAGAGAGGAGAGAGAGAGAAAAGAGAGAGAAGAGGGAGAGGAGAGAGAGAGAAGAGAGAGAGAAAGGAGAGAGAGAGAAGAGAGAGAAAGGAGAGAGAGAAGAGAGAGAGAGAAGAGAGAGAGAAAGGAGAGAGAGAGAAGAGAAAGAAAGGAGAGAGAAAGGAAAGAGAGAAGAGGGAGAAGAGAGAGGAGAGAGGGAGGGGGAGAGAGAGGAGAGAGAGAGAAGAAAGAAGAGAGAGAGGAGAGAGAAAAGAGAGAGAAGAGAGAGAGGAGAGAGGAAAGAGAGAAAAGAGAGAGAAAAGAGAGAGAGAAGAGAGGGAGAGAGAGAGAGAGGAGAGAGAAGAGAGAGAGGAGAGAGAGAGAAAGAGAGAAGAGAGAGAGAGAAAGAGAGAGAGAGAATTATTGATAAGAGAGGATGGAAAAAGATGAAAGAGAATTGCCCAAACATAAAGTTAGTAGCATCTGTTTGAATCCCTGCCACGCATACGGTAGCTGCAACTGTAAGACCCACCCAATGAAATTAAATACCAGATCAACCAATTCTTGGGAATAATCTGCTACAAGAGAGGCACAGAAGAGGGGAAAAAAACCCACCCCAATCAAAATGCCACTCATCACCTACTGTTCTCAGCTAAAGCCGCTCAACAGTATAATTAACCATCAAAGAAAGGCTACTTCCTTTCACGCATCTCCTAGGTGCTCGGCCCGGATTTGTTGCAGATAACTGCTGAGCCTACCACAATTAATAACCAGCCTCAATAAATAAATTGAATTTTAATTATTTTCAAAAGGAATTGCTAATAGATTTGAATTATTATTTTAATTAATACAATAATGCACTATGCATGCCGCAGCAGGGCCTAAAATCTGCAATGACTCTTCCCAGCTATTTAAACAACAGGACAGGGCTAATAACATCACGCACCACATTAGGAAAACACACACATTTTCACTCTTCTAGGAGGCACCTGTCCCCCTCCCATCAGCACTGGGCAACATATTGCGCACTATACTGGATCCTGATCGCCTTGCAGGAGAATAAGTAAGCATAAATCTGATATTAAAAATAACAACAATCCCAAAAGAGAAATATCATTTCAACTCCCCAGGCTGTTTCTGACCTCGGGGGTCACCATCCTCAGAAGAAAAAAAAGGAATGAATCAGCGAACAATGGAGCTGGAATTCATCCAACAGTTTAACACCATTTCTTACAGATTAAACAAAGACTGCAATTTCTTATCACCCATATATTTACTAATTAAGTGCAGGATTATCTGGGTTACAACTAACTACTATCTAATTTTGGCTGACTGTTAGGTAATTGTACCTTTCAGCTTTTCTTTCACCCTTTTTCTTCTCTTTCCTCATGAAATCACCTAAACTCTCTCTGTGTGTGTGTGTAATTTCCCC